GACGAGCTGGTACACTTTTGCAAATCCACCTTTCCTAGTGGTTGGGCAGACTCAGCCATCACTTACTTGGGGATAAAACTACCCACCGACTTGCGAAACCTTTACCCCCTCAACTTCACCACCCAATTATCTTGCTTACAAATAGACCTAAAAGAGTGGAAAAAATTGCTGTATTCCTGGTTCGGTCGAGCGGCCATCATTAAAATGACAGTCCTACCTCAACTCTTATACTTGTTCCAAACTATACCAATTGCTCTCCCTAGGGCCTTCTTCTCCTTGGTTAATGTGCTGATCAGATCACCACGAATCGGATTTGGGACTCTTACCCGCTCGAAGACAACAGGCGGTATAGGCCTTCCCAACATACAGAACTATTACCGGGCCTGCCACCTGGCCCGCATAGTGGACTGGTCCCGACATAGCCCCTACAAAGAGTGGGTCCAGATTGAACAACTTCAATCGGACATACTGACCGGCTCCTGGCCTTGGATTCGACGCTCGCTCCTCCCTACTCAAGTAACCTCTCACCCCACAATAGGCACCTCTTTGCGTCTCCTTGAATCTATCTGTACCCACACTGACCTTTCCTCAAACCCTAGCCCCCTCACCCCGGTTCGTATGAACCCTGCCTTCCCTCCAGGCCTTCATCCCACGTTCTTACACCATTGGTCCCCAGAGAAAGCCCCGATCGCGAAAAGGTTCTTTGACTACCAAGGATTGTTTCAGACCCTATTGGATCTAAATTCCGCAAACCCGGCTAGACCTTTACCTCTATGGACATACATGCAGCTTTGCCACTTCCTCAACGCAAGCACCATTAGACAGCAAGTTGCGTGAACCCTAACTTCTTTTGAGAGGCTCTGTACCTCTTCTGGTAGGGCTACTCATTTGATATCATAGACCTACTCCCTGCTGTCCGATTCTCCCTCGCTACCTTCTCCTTCCACCAAGGCTTGGGAAGAAGACTTATCCATCAACCTCTCCCCGTCAAGATTAGGAAAAGATGGATGTCCTGCTGATGCAGGGTTCCTCCAATGTCCAAATTCAGGAGACCAACTATAAGCTTCGCTCCAGATGGTACAAAACCCCTGCGATACTCCATCGCATCTTCCCGGAAACACCCGATACCTGTTGGCAATGCTCCCATGAGGTGAGTACTCTGCTTCACATTTGGTGGTCATGCCCCATCATATGTCTATTTTGGACATAAGTCCATGGCCTCATAAAGGTCATAACAGGTGTCTCAATAGACTTCACTGCGTTCTCCCTACTACTATTCCATTTTGATAAGTCCTGCCACATTTCCAAGAAATCCCTGTCTATATATTTACTGAACGCAGCCAAAACAGTGCTCCCCAGACATTGGAAAACAACAAGCCCCCCAACTATCAGAGAGTGGATGTTTAGTATAGATACAGTAGCGAACACGGAAGAGCTCATTTCCGGAGCTAGAGGAGATTTGCCCAAGTACCTGAAGACCTGGAAGGCTTGGCACCTGTTCAAGGACACAGACACATACGCTGCCCTAACCCAGCGATTAAACTCCCACGCTATCACAGCTCCTCACCCACAATTCTTCCCCCCTTATGTCAGGCCCCTCTTCATTGCAACTTTCTCCCCACACAAACCGGGTCTAGGTAAGGCCATCTTTAACATTGAGGGGAATGAACAAGTCTCATTTTCCCTTTCCCTCCCCCATTCCCTGAACCCCTTTGTCCTC